GGAAAGAGAAAGGGTGGTATTTATTCTGAAGACGACATGAACCATTGCTAATATCTGTTTCCGTAATGTATTTCTTTACTTCAAGGGCATGGCACTGTGCTCCAGGCTTACCCCTGTGCTCTGAGATGCTGCTTCTCAAACTGTGCTGCTTTTCAGAATCACCTAAGGAGCTCTAAAAAGTCCTGATGCCTGGGCTGTGCCCCAGAGCAGTTAATGTGGAGTGTCTGGGGTGGAATCCATACATCGGTATTCTTCTAAAAACTCCCGAGGTGGTTCTTGTGTACCGCTAAGAGTGGGGACTAACACTCTGAGTGTGAGATGCACTAGCAGGATGCAGTTGACACAGTTAACTGGTTCTCAGAAACCTATGCTCTCTTGCTTAGACATCCGTCACTTACGAAGTGTTCATAGAGAGCACTTTGAAAATCATTTTTTAAAACTCTAACGTTAATTATAAATTTAAAAAATTACTCATCTGTTGTTACATTTTTTAAAAAAAATCTACTTTTCACGATCAGCTGACTGGGGGAAAGGGAGAGGAAATAGAAAATTAAATGGCCTGTATTAATATAAATGCACATGCAAGTACAAAAAGCTGCTTTCACAAAGGAAAATCTTCTTGGGACTTAATAATGTTATTGTTACTACCCACAGAAAACTCTTAGGTATATAAAAATAATTCAAAGTTATAAAAATGTCAAAAGAAAGATGGAGCGAGTCAGCTTACACTCATAGTGCATTTGGTCTGTGAGTGCCAAGCTCTGGGGACTCAGATCCAGTCCGACGCTGCTACTGTGCCAACACCGTGGATGCCGAATAGCGTATGCACACGGGTTTCCATTCGGTTTTATATGGCCACAAAACAAGGTAATGTGAAGGCTAGAACTGTGGTCCTCAGGCTTGGCCCCTCTTTACAATTCCCTAAGGAAACTTACTCAACCTCAATGTCCAGGCTGCGCCCTAGATAACGGGGCGGATGGGGTTTGGGGCAGTCTTTTGTTATAGCTCCTAGGAGATTCCGATATTCAGGCAAGATTGAAGGTCACTACTTTGGAGGGAAGAAGTAGCTGTCTGGATCCTTGATGTCTATATGCCGCTTCTTTTCAACACAAAGGACACACCAGTCAGGAAAGAAAGACAAAAAGGAAAGGAGGCAGGACAGGAAAGGGAGATTCCTCGCTTCTCCAGCAGGAAAGGTCCAGCTAGCTCGCCCACTCCTGCCCGCTGCACACAGCCTGGCGGCTACCTTGGACTTTGTGGTCATGGTCGTCCTGCAGGATCGCGATGGCAACTGTGTGGTTGTTTTCCATCTCTAGGAGAGCAGCCTCATGGCTGGCGGTGATGTCTTCAACCTGGAGGACAGTCACAGTTACTGGCTATTCAGAGAGCAGGGGATGGACATCAGCACTTCCCTGCTGATTGGCAAGGTGGAGGTCAGCGAGAGCGAAGGTCACTGGCCCACAAGGAAAAGGAGAAGTCGCTCTGCTGAGGCGACAGCTGCCTTCCACCGTGTGCAGAGGCAGGACAATCAGGAACTGGTGGCAGCTCCAAGCAGGGAATGGCTACTTCTTTAGGGTCTTGGACCACTCTCTTCCCACTCCCATCCCTTTTTCTTGTAACAGTCATTCTATGTAGGCAGCTAATGTTGGACACAGAAAAGATAAGTCCTCCCTGGAAGATGGGCTTTTCCATATTTCCTAGTGGCAGGTGGGAGCTATGGTACATGAGGTACATAGGAGAAAGTAACATTTATTAAGCTGCAAGCTACAGGCTACTGCACTTAACCCTCAAAGCACCTTGATGTGGTAGTTTCTGCCCATTTTACAGATGAGGAAACTGAGGCCTCAAAACAATGTTTTGCCCAAAGGCTGGCAAATACAGGGCTAGCAGTAGAGCCTAGGTCTGTGAGACGCCAAAGGCAAAGCTCTCTCAAACATACCATTGTTGCTTCCCCCAAATAAGACCAGGAATGAATACCTTAGGGTTTCCTTGCCAGTACCACGTACAGGTGAGACTGGCAGGTCTGCATGTACCAGGGCACTGGCTTCTTAGACGTAAGCCTGCCTGCTGGATTACAACTGGACCTCCTGCCCAGGCCATGGACAGTTGCTCCTACCTGTTTGAAAGCACATTCCCAGGAGTTTAATCAAAAGTAGTGTAACCAGTCCAGGATCTGTTTTCCTGCTTCCAGGCCCCAAACACTAAGTGCCACCCTCCTTCCTAGTGTGTTTACTGTTTTTGCTTTTGTTGTTATGGCTATTGTTTTGTTTAACTTTAAACTGTGTGACTGGGCCAGCCAGTGGCATGGTGGGTGGTTAATAAGGTGCCAGAACCCACACAGCTGACTGTGCAGTTTAAGACCCAGACCCAGAGGCTTGAAAAAAATTCTGGGCATGTGTGTGTGCATGCCCAAAATCCTGGGAGGAGAATGGAAGAGAAGGGATTGTGACATGGCCATGCTCCCTAGGGTACACTTTCTCATGATTCCCCCCTTCTCTCTGCCTCTGTCTCTCTCTTTTCTGTCTCTCTCTGGTGAGGGCACATGCCTATAGCAAGTTAAAAATAATTGTATGACTTACAGGAATAATTGCATAAACAACCTCTTGACAGGAAATCTCTCCTGAACACTACAACAGTGTTTATCCAAATTCTTAAGTCAGTGACCTATTGTAAAAAATACCATCGAACATTGTAATAGCATCTATACCCAAACCAAGTTCCACAAAACAATACTTCCTTTCCTATTTGCAATAATCTACCTTTAAAATTTGTATCACACTTTATTACATTTTATAAAATACTAACTATAAGCCACTAGATTTATTTCACAACCTTTTAAGGTGTCAAAACTTGGCATGTGGAAAACACCAAACCAGAAAATTGTCCCCGGGTCCTGAAGTTCTCTGGTGGACTAGTTAAGACAGTGCTTCTAGAAGAGACAATCTTTGGAATGAGACAATATATTTTCAAACTCTCCCTTGGATAAGGGATTGATAACCAAAATATACAGGGGACTTAGGCAGCTTACCGGCAAAAAAACAACAACAACAACAACAAAAAACAAAACAAACAAACAAACAAAAAACAAAAAAAAACACAAACAAACAAACGAAATCAAATTAAAAGATGGGCAAACAAGCTGAACAGACAACTCTCCAAGAAAGACATACGGACAGCCAAAAAGCATATGAAAAAATGCTCAACATCCCTATCATAAAGGAGATGTAAATCAGAACTGCAATGAGATACCACCTAACCTCAATCAGAATGGCTAAGATTCAAAAAATAAAGAATGGAAAATAAAGAATAATAAAGTTTTTTTTTTTTATTCAAAAAATAAAGAAGTGCTGAAAAGGGATCTCTCCTACACTGTTGAAAATGTAAATTAGGGACCAGAAGTTGGCGTAATGGCTGTCGCTGGACTCTCATGTAGTCAACCATGGTTTGAGTTCCAGACTTGGTGGCTTAAACTCAGGCTGGATGTGTGTGTGTGTGTGTGTGTGTGTCCAAGATCCTGAGAGGAGATTGGAGGAAAAGGGATTGCAATGTGGCTATCCCCCCTGGGGGGTGATTTTTTGTGTTCTGTCTCTCTGTCTCTGTCTTTCTGGTGAGCACACGTGCCCTATAGCAAAAACCTCTCCAAAAAAAAGAAAATGTAAATTAGTATAGCCACTGTGGAGGACAATATGGAGGTTCCTCAAAGACCTACAAAGAGAACTACCATATGACCCAGCAATTCTACTCCTGGGTATCTACCCAAAGAACAAGAAAACACTCAGTTGGAAAACAGTTGCACATCTATGTTCATTGTAGATCATTCACATTTGCTAAGACATAGAATCAACCCAAATGTCCAAGAACAGAAAAATGGATTTAAAAAGTGTGGCACATATATACTATGGAATACTACTCAGCCATATAAAAACAATGAGACCTTGGCATTTGATAGAAAGTGGACAAATATGGAAGATTTAATGCTAAGTGAAGCAAGCCAGTCTATGAAAGAGGGGCATTGTATTTCCCCACTTACTTTATACCAAATGTCTGCACTCTACGACAGAAACGGAAAAGATTGGAAGGCGTAAAAGCATGAACAGCTACCATCAACACCAGAGACAGTTTGGGAGCAGGGCAGGAAATGGGGGCGGGGTGGGATGGGAATCAAGGGGAAAAAATTAAAAAGAAAAAAAAGACAGTGCTTCTAGCTAGTAATATTTAGCCACCTCTGAGAGTCCTCGTGTCTTTGGGAATAATTCAGAGGCCAACTTTGATGTGAAATGAAGGGCTCTCCAAGAAAAGAAAGCCTGTTCTTGAAATCAACACAGTGGTTTTGTTTTTTCTTGTTTTTTTCCTAGAGGGGTAGATTCCCATTCTGGTTATTATAATGTCATGGGGAAATTTTGCCTGACTTTTCTGTGCTATAGTGAATGGGAACCTCATCTGCTAAAACAGAAAGCTCCACTGGGTGAAACCAGCATAAGCCCACAGCATCAGTTAGGAGAGTGGCATGATGGTGAGAAAGTGGATATGGTATGCAATGTTTCGCTTTTATTGACTGGCTACTCTTGATTAAATAGTATTTTTCTTAAGGCTCAGAGTTATGAATCCACTCAGCAGAAAGTCTGATTATAAGAGTATTTAGTTGTCCAATTCCTGTTTCTAGGAGGTTTTTATGGACTCTTGTCCAAAGCCTTTCAGTCTGCTGGAAAAATAAATGACTGGCAAAAATTTCAAAAACGAAATATCTTTTCTTTCTGTTCCATTGTTGTAGTCACTTAATCCCAAAGAAAACTGTGTGTACAAACACGTACATATTGTTTAGAGGCATGTTACACAGTTCAGTATGATGAAAATTTGTTCATCAGTCCTTGGTATGCTTCTAATTCATTGGGCCTTTTCACAAATTACCAAGGGTGGTTTCACAAAAGAGAGATGGATAGGACTGAGTTCTAGAAGACTTCCATGTGTCCCTGGAGGTGAACATGCCCTGATTGGCAATACTACATCACATTTGTGGTTAAAATGTATGCCCTTCTGGTTTGTTGGAAGGCAGGTCTTTGATTAGCAGTGATGGAATGCCAGGCCCAACATATGTGAGGGATGATGTAAGGGCCTGCTATATCCATTACATCCTCTCAGAGGTGCTTTTATGAATAAAATACTGATCTCCTAACTCTGAAAGTTCATATGGAATCAGAAGAATGCCCAGTGTGCTTGGAAAGAAACCAACGAGAGCCCACGAGACAAAATTTCAACTCAACAGTCCTGCTGTTTTCAGTAATTTAGTTTTCTTTATGATTTTTAGAGAATATCTCTTCAGTGAAGGAGGGGCTGTCTACTACTGACCATGCTTTGTCTTGTCACAGTGTTGATTCCTATGACTTCTCCTATAACTTCTGGCTCCTTTTAGTGCATGGGTTCACATTCATGAAGCACTTGGTAAGAATCTTAACCAGAGAAGAGCTCACAACCTTCTGAAGGCATTTAAGATGCACTATAGTTTGAATATATCCCTTGTAATCCACAGGTTGAGTCACTAATAAGAAGATTAAATGTGTGAAAACTTGACACAATTATTGTATTGAAGGGTGGGGACTTTGGGAGAAGATTAGTGATTAGGTGTTTAGCCCCATGCTTGTGCTCTGGTGGGTTTATAAGGAGAGGGAGTAAGAAAGAGACTGATATGGAACACACACCATACTTTCCCTGCACCTGTCTGATATTCCCCTCTGCTTCTGTTGCCAAGTTTGAATGTATTTGGACTTTCTGGCCACTGGAATCATGAGTTAAATAAACCTCTATACTTTACAAATCATCCAGTCTCAGATATTTCTGTAAACAACATACCAACAGACTAAGACAAGGGGATTTAGACAAATTGACTCAAGGGAAACACAAGATCATTTAATGCACTATAGATCACCAAATCAATATCAGTGCCAAATCGTTATCAGCCTATGGCAAAATTGTGCTGGGTAAAGCATCCTTTTTTTCCTACTAGAACCCTGGGTATGGGGTCCTCTTGGATTGACCACTAGACCAACCTCTCCTTCCTCCACAGAGACAGAGTTCTGGGCTTTGCCATGGAGACGTCTGTCAATATGCACATTGAATAGTCCTAGTCCTACAGAACTAGGAACTTCTGATGCTACTCTGTTTTCACAGCTGCCTGCTGTTCAGCTGGATGGATTGATTGCAGAAGAAAGAGTTGGAAAGCCACCCTCTCAGTGGGTGAGAATAGAGCTTTGGGGTTTACTTCAGTTAGCCATTTGCAAGATGCAATTATCTTTGGCAGTTCACTTAGGGAAGATTTAACATTTCAAATGAGGAAGCATGTGCTTTATATTTTCTT